CCTTTTAACATACACAACATGACATGTAAGACCTTTTTAAAAACAATGTACCGGTCCCTCCCCTTCCCCCTTCCTCACAAATCTCTACCTTCTCTCTCCGCACAAGATGGTACATTTTTTATTTATGCCCTGTTTTTTTTTTGTTTTTAGTCTTTGTATGCAAATCCTGTCTGACTTGTCTGAATTATGTGTGTCTGTCCGGGAGCCTCTGTGATTCGGAGTGACTGAGGATTGCACACACGGTGATTGCATCCACTGGGCCTACTCTGAGCCTTGCATAAGTAATTGAGATGTCAGTATGTGTTCTCATATTCCCACAACAAAACTGTAGGAAAACATGCACTGTTGAAGGTCATTTGAATAATTCCTTAATGGAAGGGAGGCCTTGTTTTTCGGGATGCATGAAAAAGCAAATGTCAATGATCAAAATCAAGCAGCATCATATCTCATGGAGGCAGCACTGATTCCTGGAGCACTTCACCCTCTATCTCCTTCTCTTTCTCTCTGAAAAGATAGATAAGGGATAAGTGTCTTTGTGCATATCAAACGCAACACAAGCCACTATTTCTCAAGGGTCTTTTTGAAACACAAATTGGTTTTGAGACATTTTCTATGTTGACCTCTTTGATTCCAAATAGGAAATGACAGGGACATTCTCACATTGAGAAAACCACTGGGAGGTCAATGACTGAATCATACATATACACGCAGGATAATGGGAAATATGCCATTAATCTTTCATATGTGGATTATTATTGTAGCTATAGACGTGTCCCCAGGTGATGAGGCAAATAGAGATGGATTATACAAAGGGAGAGGTGTGCACAGAAGACGTGTAGCATATATATTTAAAGTGGTCATCATGTCGGAATCTAAGAGATTAAGTATTTATCTCAACAGTATACTGTATGATTTAGTATGTGTCTAAATGCAAGTAAAAAAAAAAGAACAAACAACTGCTCAGAAAGAAAGGATAAAAGAAAAATTATTATAGTGCATTGAAAGGAGAGAATGGATAGGTATCGCATCTTGTTTTGTTAAACCACATCCCTCATCCGACCAAGATGGAGGAAACATTTCATCCCCAGTATTCTTTGTGTTTTGTCCGGGCGTGTGATGGATGAAGGGGCCTGGCGACACACACACCTGCAGTTCTCATCCACCACCACATCATAACTAAAGGCTTGGCAGACTGAGATGATCTCATACATCCGTTAGCCTGCCGCTGTCAAACACCATCATTCTCCAAAGACAACTCTGTCACATACACCCGCCCACCGCAAAATGAACCCACCTTGATGAAAGACTGCCGCGTGTCCATCAAAAAAATACAAATCCACTGCAGCTGACACCAGCTGGAGAGCTGCACTCTCAGTTACACTGAGTAGTGTAGCGCGTGGAATGTAGGATTAGAATCCTCATTTAAAAAATTCCATCTTGTAAACATTTTTCCAAAGCATCTGAATCCAAATAGGACCCATACATTGATCACGTTATTACATTCGATACATTTTTCATCAATGAAATATGTGCTGTCTTTAGTATACCTGATCAGGTAACCGTTAAAGCTAATGTCTTGCTCAATATTAGGAGGACCTGTAAGTTATTCGTTTTTTTTATTATCATTCATTCTTAAATGTTTTATAAGTGACCATAAAAGTGTTCCGTTTAACTCTTCAAAACTGTTTTTAATACTACATTTTATTATTATTTTTTTTAACTTTAGCAGACAAACTTATATAAATTCTAGGAAACCTTTGATAAACACATATTTTGCCAGTACCCTAAATTCCTAAAAAAAGTGTTCACGCTTTTTAAAACCAAGCCCATGTTTTTGATATGTGTTTTTTTAAATCCTTCATCTAATCAAAACATCCTTTTGCACAAACATCTTGTACACTGGGGAATGGGGCTGATTCGTGTACTTTTTGTATTTGTTTCAGAATTCTGCAATGTGAAGTGGCGTCTAGAACATGTTATGTTTTATCTGTGGATGAAGCCGTTCACAATGGTTTCCAGCTGCCAGTATGTCTAAGGTAAGGACAAACACACACACTTAATGAGTTAAACGGATGTGAAAGAATCACAGGAAATGTAAGACTTAAATGACGAACAAATATATTGAGAGACGTTTTTGACGACTTAGTGTGCAAAGGCCTTTAGTTACAAAACATAGTTCTGGTGTTATAAGAAAATAAGAATAAATCGTAGAAGTTTCAGTATTTCATACTGAAACTTTTAAGTGTGACACAAACAACACCTTTTATTACTGTACTAAACACAACAACTTGGTTTGTGCACGTATGGAAAGTAGAACTGTCACAGATCCTGCACATTCTATAGTACTCAACATAATTGAATCAAGTCCACAAACTGACTCAAATCAACATAAAAATAGGCCGAGGCAGGCATCTCGTGTGAAACGTGAATACTGATAACTTCTTCCCGAATGTAATTGCCACAATGAGGCGCTTTATCAGGATCCAAACAGATTCCTGCGACTTTAGTCCCTGATCCAGTGCAAAGGCTCTCAGTCGTTGTCGCTTTGTTTGTCGATTCTCTGTCAAGACATTGTTTGTTTGGTTTTGAGATATTTTGGAAGGGTATTAAACCAATACGTCGGAGTTGTGTGCAAAGTTGGAGGTGTTATAGACGGCAGACATACGCGCCGTGATCCTCAGCAGGCGCTTTGTCTTTGTTTATGGCTGACAATGATCTTCATGCCGCTATACAAACCAGGAACAAGCACCACGAACATATGAAGCCAAACAAAAGACTTGTCAGGAAACCACAGGTGTGTTCCCACTGAGCGTACATATATCGGAGGTAATGACACACCTTGGAGCTTTAGCTGAACTTCTGAGGAAACATCAAAAGCACCGCATTGCTTCCCTTATTTAACTTCTCTGTGATCTCCTAACCATAGAGTGACACCTCTCTATCATTGTCTCTAAGGCATGACACAGTATACTTGATGTAACGTCTGCAATGCAAACACCAATGTATCCCTGTTCTATCTCGTCAGAGGCAGACGAGTTATGCAGGTTAATACTCCCTCCCCGTGTTCCCACCAGCCCAGGTAATTTTGTTATTCCGTTAGTGCCCTCTGTCTACACCCACCCCTGTCTGCTGTACATAATGGTCCCAGCCCTGAGAGGAAGCAGGCATTTACTTATACAAAACCTTGAGGAAATCCCTACCAATCCTCAGGGCTCACGTTCAGCGGCGCCCAAAACACAAAGGCTATGCAAATCTGCCCAGCCTGCGTTTATCTACCCTCGGTTTCCGTTTGCACCACGGGAACCAGCATTGTGACGTGCGTGGCGATTATCGCATGTAATTTACATAGAATACGCACAGGAAACAGTGCACTGATCTCTAACAAAGCAGGGAAGAGTCTCTATCGGCTCAGCAGCTATCTGACGGCACAGCAAAATTACAGGTTTAGCTGTGGGGTATTAAACCTACAAGGTGTTTTTTTATTTCTGGTGTGCAGGGAACACTATCTCCTCCAAATGTTGCGTGTTTATCTGCCTTGTTTGTTTTATAACCCAACTCCAGCGGCCCCTTTTTCAGTGGAAGCTGTATCTTCAGCCGGGGCTAATCTGCCCTCTGCCTGTGTTTCCTTTGTCACTGAATCCATGTATCAACACAGCGAGGTGCAGCCAGATCGAGGAGGTGTGTAATTGCACAAAGACACTCGCGCTAATGTAGCCGGGAGAGAGTGAGTGTGTGTGTGACTGACTCAGCCGACACGAGGCATGTTGTGAGAGTCAGGGAATGGAAGTCATAACACTGCAGCATGGCGTCCCGTCATTCGTACAAAGGCTGGCACTGTAAGTACTCTATCAGAAAGTTGAGACATGAGGGCGATATGAGAGATCAAAATCATGAAGCAGACTCTTTACCTGCAGGGCTGCCTGAGGAAGAAACCCCCACAACCTGCTGGGGGTCATCTAGAGGTCAGCGTACACAACGATTCACTTAAAGCTCTCAGTAAAGCTAAACGCTAAGGATGTGGTATTGAATAAAGTCAGACATGAAACATAAGAAAGTACAACGGCAAACAGAGCAGAGCAAGTGGTGAAAATAAGCTGTGGCCAGTGTGTAAAACAGACAATAAAAAAACGTTTTCTAACATTCTGTCTGCAATTAACTAGGCAAACATTTAGAAGAAAATAATGGCAATGGCATTCTGCACTAAACTACATTTTGTATGGACACAACCACACAGTTGCTGTGGGAATCAAAAGGTTTAACCAATGTACCAATGCAAAAGTGACCCTTTATCCTGTGGAAATAACCCTAAAAAATAGGTGTGTTGTAAATGTGCTATTTACTGCACATGTAATAATTCCAATGGTGCTCTGATGAATGATGCAAGCAATGTAAGGTCATTACTTGTGTGTCATAAGTGCCAATAAGAGAAAAAGACAGCTCCTTGTTCTTTCGTCAAACAAAAACCGGTGTTAACTAATGGGTTCAATGTGGCCAGTCAGGAGTGTTTATCAAGCAGAACAGACACCCTTCTGATTTTGTTCCAAGAAGACAGGCAAAAAATACATCGCCGTCATTAATATAACACTGATTCTTTCAGAAAGGGCTCTCCGAAGGCCAGTCACAAGCCTAGCATGAGTTTCCTGCCACAATAGGCACCCTTACAGGCTTATCAGCCCCGTCATCTTCATCATTATAATAATCATTGGCAGTATAAAGTGGCTAAGTCATCAGTTCAAAGTATGTCACCACTGACTTTTCCTTTTTCTCTTAATATATTATATAAAAGAAGGCCTTTTGCAGAACACAAGGTATGTGCTCACACAGGAGCAAGGACACTTACCTTTGCAATGCATACTTTGAGTATATAAAGAAATTAAATAAACAGTTTGCAGTGCGTTAAGATTATAAATGGATAAATGTGTTTGATCTGTCGCAAAGCAAATTTATTTCAGAGTCTGGTGCACCGCAAAGACAAATAAACACACAACAACAAATGCATGACTGTTAACAACTGCTTTGGGGTTTATTTTACAATTGAGAAAGAAATGAAACAAACTAATCGGTGCTAAAAAGTATTTTTTTTTACAATATTGTCGATAAAACATTGAAATGTATAGTCATTGTGCATCGCTTATTTATTTTCCACACCATGTTCATGCATCAAATTGGATGCAAGTATAATTAAAATCATTTCTGTAAACCAAGCCAAAGAAGCTACATTTGTATTTTTCTTTAAAAAAGGACATTTTTGTAGCTCTACAGCATATATCTATATACACCATCTGTTTTTATTTTTTATCATTTTTGTATATAAAATGACAATATAAAAGTTAGAGAATGCACACACCTTAAGATACAAAGAATGTTGAGCCGTTTTCAAATGGTAAGATATGTCTTATGGAGTACTGACATTTCACTAGTAATCATCTACATGTAACGGACTGTTCTCTTTACAGTTGAATAAAGCGACACAATTTAGAAAGAGAATGTTGTAACAAACCATACAACTGGAAAATTGCTATAGGGTGATACTTCACAACAAGGAAAAGTTTTTTGAGCAATCTTGCATACTGACGGCCATTCATTTTTCACTGATTGACTCGTAACCAGAAGCAGCATTTCAGTTTTTCCAAAGGTTCACATGATCTTTTTCTAATACACTGACAGATTTATGAGCAGGCCATTCATCATCAGAAACATTGCAGTGACAGGAACCAAAAACGGAGAGGGGAAGGAAATGATAATCCTTGATCTTTTTTAAATCAATCTGATTTTGACAAATGCAAGATATTTCAAAACATGTTCTCTTTACAAATTCAAATTTCAACTGTCTAAGGTGCTACTTCAGTCTCTCCGGGTATTCTTTCATTCTTTTGGTGTATACATTTAATTTTCACCTTCTTCATATCAAGTATTATACAGTTTTCTCTTCCACAAATTCTCTTTCCGCTCACCACTTTTACAATTGAAGCAGTAGTTGTATTTTTGCCATGAAAAGATTAAAATCTTGTGTTTAACCTTGATTCACTCAAATACATGCACAGATCAGACAAATAGCATATAAATATATTACAAAATAAGTGTAAAAAAGCTTGGCAAAACAAAAACAAATCAACATGAAAAGACATGGTCCAGTCAGGCAGTTATCACAAAAAAAGAAATAATAAGATCGATATCTTTCTGGCGGCTCAGTTCGGCCCAGTGCAGTAACTGTGAATAAAGTCATTTTAGTGCAATGAAATTCTAGTCAGTTCCACAGCTGTCAGTCTCTACTGCTCTCAGCACAAGACCCCGCTTAAACCTTCTCCATCTTCTCCAGTTTCTCCAAAGCAGTGACAAACACCAGGTGGTCCTCTGGAGACTTGCCGTGGGTCTTGCTGAGATGCAGTTTGACTGCGTGTTTGCTGACGAATGTCCGATTGCAAAGTCTGCACTGATACACGGAGCTTGTTTCGTCCTCTGCCGTGGTCAATGCTGACAGGGGCCTGCCGAATGTCATTTTGTCTGTGATCACCTTTGAGGCAGCCTGCTGCTCCCGAAGGTGCTCCGTTGACAGTTTGGACAGGTCCTTCAAGCTGAAGCCCAGGTGAGTCTCCAGGTGGCCGATGTAGGCGGAGGGAGTCCTGTACTGGGAGGCACAGTCACCACAGAGGAACACAGGCTGGCATGAGTCCATGTTCTTGAGAAACTTGGTGCCCCCAGTCCGTCTCAGCTGGTACTTGACGTTAGCCAGCCAATGGGATATGGTGGTCATGGAGAGGCCTGTGAACTTACAGATGTGGACCCTTTCCTGAGGGCCTAGGTCAGTCATGGCGAAGCGGCCCTCTGAGGTCTCCCTTAGGCTGGACACAAACTGTGCCTGGAGGATGAGGAGGTGCTGGGGATTCCAGTTGGATTGCCTTCCTTTCCTCTTCTGCACTGGGGAGAGGTCCTCTAGGGCGTCCTCAAAAGCACTGCCGTCTGCATCTGACTTCTCTGAGATGGAGGAAGGGGTTGAAGATTTGGGCGTCAGTCTCCCCGTGAGGTTCTTTACCATGTCGGAAATGTCCATCAGAGCATTCTCTCTCAGAGGAGAGGAGACTGAGTCAGGGAGGGAAATTAGGGGTTTGTTACCATTTACACTACTGTTGGTCAAGAGCCCGCTGCTGCTGTTGTTGTTGTTGTTGTTGTTATTATTGTTGCTGTTACTGGTGGCCTTACTTTTACTCAGGTCAATGGGCTGGTCACTGCTCTCATACAGCGGATAGTGGTTGATGGGCTCAGTGGGTTTGCCCTGAGGAGTTGTTTTGAACGCTGGCTTATCCATCATGCTGTTGCTGATTTTGTAAAGCATAGATAGTGGGTCTCCAGCTGGGCTTACTGGTTTGGAGGCTTTACCCAGGTGTGTGTTCATGATTGACTGGAGTGCACTGAGAGGGTTGATGAAGGGACTTTCCAGTGAGTGATCGGTGATGATGCCAAGACAGTTGCCATTAGTTACTGGGGATTGGCACATCTCTGAGCCATTCTTCGAATGGTTGTTGTGGCCGTCGACTAGGCTCTCTTTGGGCTCCTTCTTGCAGATGAGCTCTGAGTCTACACTTCCTGGGCTGCTACTTCTCATACCCGATGGTTTACCTACAGATAGGTCATTTGGAGATGTTAATTGTTCTCTCTGCTCTCTCAGTGCAGGAGAGGGGGATTTGACTAACGATGGGGGCCGGCATCGTTCAATGCTCACCATCTTCTCCTCCTTTTCCTTCTTCACATTGGAAGCTTTCCCTGTCACTTTTTCTACAAGCTCCTCCATGGCACTGACATTGCTCCTGAGGGGGGTAGGGGAGGAAGGGCTCCGAGGCGAGTGGATGATTGAGTTTGGGTTAATCACAAGGCCTCGTAGCCCACCTGCGAACATTGGCTGCATCTGCATACTCTGGACCATTGGAGGTAGAATGGTAGAAGAGTTCTTCATGCCATGCAGCTGGTATGCTGCATGAATGCTAGGGTAGCCCCCCCATGTGGGCGTGCCTGTCTGGGCCTTGCTGATGGCACTGGATACTGTGTTCTCAAGGGATTTAAGAATATCTAAACCCCCTTTTGGCGCCTCCTCTAGATCTTCTTCTCTAAGGTATTTATAAGATGTGCCGTCATTGTTAGATTTCTCAACTGAGTCATCTCTCTCCTCCTTGATTTTTCTCTCCATTGGCTCCCCACCTTCAGACCTTTCATCCTCGCCTCCTTCTCTCTTTTCCTCTGAGCATGTAGAGAGGGCAGGGGACACTGGCTGGGACTTTACCCCACTGGGAACAGGGAGTCTGGTGGTGGTCGGTGGCAGTGGGATAGACTGAATCTTCTCTTCCACCACCGGATCAAAAACCAGCTGTTTGCCCTTTTTGGATGCAGCATTTGTAACCTTCAAAAAGTGACCAGTAACCATCATGTGGGCAGTCAGCTGTTGGAGTGTATCATGAGAGCTCCCGCACTCCATGCATTTGAGGATCTGGGCTTTACGAGCTTCGAACTGCCATGTGTAGCTGGCACCATTCTGGTAGCCGTAGCGGTTGTTTGGCGTAACGTAGGGGTTACCTGCGGATTTTGTGCCAACATCCCCAAGAGATACACTACCACCACCAACACTACTAGCATGGATAGAGTCTGGCGAGCATGGGGACACTATAGCATCATGGAGAGCTCGTTTTTTAGCTGAAGAAGACATCAGCTTTGTGGCCAAGGCTGGCATCGGTTCTTTGAGAGGCACTTTCTGGTAATGCTTGGTCTTGATCATATGAACACTGAGATCTTGAAGAGACTCAAACGAGTGGCCACAGTACATGCACTTCAGCACCTTTTGAGCATCTTCTTTTCCCTCCATCTCCATCAGGGAGCGCTTACGTGGTTTGGACCAGCGCTTTCCCTGATCCTCCTCTTTGTCCTTGTTGTCATCTCGATAGTGGCCCGTCTCATTCATGTGGACTGTTAAACCCACCAGTGTGTCATAGGCACCGCTGCAGTCTTTGCAACGGAACTTGCTTGCACCAGTGAAAACAGAACCATACAGTTTGTTGTTCTGCCGGTAGAGCTGCACTGTGCTGAAGAGGCTGGGCTCTGGCAAAAGGTGGTAGGGGTTCTGTTGAAAAGTTTTGGCAAGCGCTGCCTGGTGCCAGTCGTAGGCCACACCGCTACCATTGCTTGCCCCACCACTGTGTGCACTGTTGCTGCTAACAGAGCTAGACGCTGTGCCATTAGTGTTGCCACTTGCGCTGCCTGTGTGGTTCACAGTAGCGTTGGAGCTCCTGCCATTATGGTGACTGCTAGTCATGTTGACCCCGCTGCTCTTGTTTGTGGTCGTGGTTAAGGAGACAGAAGGGGCAGGCTCCGTAGTAGTGATGGCACTATTGACACTGCCGGCTGCAGCAGGCTTAGATTTCATTAAGTCCATTGTGATGCTAGACCAAGAGGCATCTGAGATGAGGTTTGCATAGACGGCTTTCATCTGTGCCAGGCTATCCTGGAAAGACAGGCCGTTGTCGGGGCGGATGGGTAAAGTCGTGACTTCCCTCTCCTGACCGTCCCTGGAAGAGGTGCTCTTAAAGTCTGTCAGCCGGTCGCTGGTGTCGCTGAGCGGGGACCCGTATCCAGCATCAGGGTTAGTGCCATTGCTGAGCGGAGAGTCTCTGTAGCTAGGTGGCTGGCCTCCATCCACATCTTCTTCTTCCTCGTTGCACAGAAACTCATTGTCCTGGCCGTCTAATGAGAGGCCGTCGTCCTGCAGGTGCTCTTCTTCGATGTGTTCGCCTGGCTTATTCTCGTCTTCGGGCGCGTACGCTGGAGAGAAAGACAGAAAAGAAAGAAAAGAAGAGAGGAAAAAAGAGGTCAGCTCAATGAAATAAAAGATTTACAGCACACCAACAGGACCACTATCAAAATAACACGGGATGAATACTCAACGAGGGGAAATGTAGGCTTTAACTCTCATTGAATGTTAGTGTGTGTATGCATGCATGCATTTGTGTGTATTTCACACACATGTGGCTCTGAAAGCCAGTGGTGAAAAAAGCCTCCAAGGGAAAAATAAATCACTGAGCTTCTGACAGTTGTCCTTTTCCTTCCCAACTCCCTATTCCTCCACACATGCCTCATGTTCCCCCGGAAATGACTGGCTGTTTGGCCTTGTTAGCCAGCTGCATGCTTGCATGTTTAACTCCCCCATTTCTCCTTCTTTCTCTCTTCCCAAAGCTTTATTACCTTTCACTCATCTAGTCAGTGGAGTTCAGCTCCTCACAATATCACGTTACACAACTGATCGGAGAGGGAAAGAAACAAAACACTCATTTGGAGATATCGCAGCTTTTTTACTATCCCACTATGATTAGCTGAAGGTCATTTTTATTTGAGCTCATCAGCAGGAACTAACAAAACAATGGTCCTTAGATTCTGAATGCAACAATGATTGCTGAAGAAAGGAGTCTGGGGTCTGGAGTCTGTTTTGAAAAATGCTACAAATGCTTTACAAAAAGACAGATTAAAAGAGGAAAGGGAACTAAACAAGGCTGAGATGTAACAGGTTTACCAGTAAAATAGGCAAATAAGATAGAAGGCTACACCATGTGTGTGTGTGTGTGTATGTGTGTGTGTTTGCATGCTAGCGAATGCACAGCAAGCATCAGTAAGTGGGAGAGGCAGGAGGTGGTTAGGGGGAGAACAAGTGAATGAAAAGTAAATGTGGAGGAGAAAGAAAAAGTGAGCAGGAGGTGTTGGGTTTGGTGGGCGGGGAGAGGGGAGTGGGGATTTCAAGAGAAAAGGGAGAAAGACGAGAGAGAGGGTGAGGGAGGCAGGGAGACAGGAAAGACGGCCCCCTAGCTTCTTCCTTTATCTCCTTCCTGCATGGTGAGATGTGTGTCCTAGATGCCAGTATCAGTCTCTCCTGATGAAACAGATGTGCTGTCAGCTTCAAACGGCACGCTAACCTGTCATATCATAATCTAAGTGGACATAATACCTGATATATATACACTGGCAACATTTACTGCTGCCTGAGAGGAGAAGGGTGGAGGAGGTGGGGGAGGTGAGCAGCTGCACCGTCGACTGTGACTGCGTGGTGATGTGCGTGTGAGTGCCTATTTTGCGGATGGCGTTTGCCCGCATGCTCGCCTCCCAATGCCTATGTAATGTACTGCTCATACATGTTTGCTCTTACGGTGCGAAAAACCTGAACCCACAGACCATAATATTGCCTATAAGTCTGCTGTGTGCTACTGATACACACCCTTCTCCAAATGAGCAACACACTCCCCTAACGCCTGACAGGATTTCAGTGAAATGAGAGCACTACAGGAGAACCTGGCTGCGCTTCAATCCCACTGACAGACGGAGACGGAGACAGTTTCTAAAACTCCTGAAAATCCCTAACACAGCAGATTAGCATTATGTGCTGTACTCTCTACAACACATCTGCAGAGTGGCTTCTGTTACAGTGCCTTCCCCCCCTAGCTAACCCGCTTCTAGAAAAGGAGGCTATCAATACATATCAGCCATTTAATATACAAAGCATCCTGCAGAACGGCTATCCATTCTTCACAAGCCCACACGAACAGTGCAAACATACAGTAGGAATTACCTCTGTGAGTCAGTCACAACGGCTACAGCCAAAAAATAGCTAAACCCCAATAGTTGGCAGTGCTTAGTACACACACACACTCACACACATACACACACACAGGGAGACAGCAGGAATGAGAAGCAGCAGATCAGAAATATCACTGGGTGAGTGACAAAACACAGACTGCAGCAGGGAGGGGCTACGAACAATGAGCAGGTCGCCAGGGAACCCTTTGACGATCCCTGTCAATCAATGCCTGTCCTGCCATGTTGTCATGGAAACAACAAAGAGGGAGATATCAAAAGCACAAAGACAAAAGACTGGCAGAGACCGACATCTGTAAAAATCACAGGCAGCAAGTGGACTGTTTCGCAAACCATAAATGTAAAACGTTAGTGATGAAACGTGAGTCTGAAATAAATTATCATCTTGTTTGAGACGCCGCATCTATCCTGACATGATGCTCAAATCTGAAGCGTGAGGAAGGGGGAAATATTTGGTTCAATCAGTGCAACTTGAAGATGTGTGATTCTGAGTGGCGGCCAGATTAAGCCCCCTTCTCCCGTCCTGGACGCGCATATGCGGAGCAACACCAGCAGCAAGGGGCGGGCTCGGGGAAGGGGCAGGGCTGGCGCGCCGTCCCTGGTGGTTTGGTTTGCCGAGTGGGTGATGGCTGTGAGCAGGGCCATCTGCACGGGCGCCAAAGCGCCTGTCACTTTTGCTCGGGGACGTGCCGCCATCAAGGAGACAGGCGGCAGCGTGGCCAGGATAGCACTGCAGACTCTCTGTCAGAAGCAGCAGCGATCAAGCCCGCCACCAGCCACGCCAGATCACCAACAACACACACCGAGGAAGCAGGAATTAGCATCCAACTGTATCACTGATCTCCCAATGCCTACACATATGGTTACACTGTTAACAAATAGGGAACCAAAATATGTTAAGTCGGAGAAGGGTTTCTAGGATCCCCTTTGGATGTGTTGAAGAGCCTTTTAAAATATGCATTATGCAAACATTGATTGACATTTACATACACATATTAAGTGTGTATCTTTTTCTCATCTGTTTTTTCTAAAGTAATGTCATTGATGGACTTACAGTAAGTGCGCATGAAGCACCCTTGATTCTGATTTGTATCCTATATGTAAAGATTAAAGAATGTGAGATGTCATTACAGATTTCAATCAGGTTTGTTGAGTTCTCAGAGATCAGACCATGGCTAAGTAAATCCAATTGCCCCTTTGACATTATGTTTTTCTGATGAAAAGCCTGTGGTGAACGCCCAGCCTCAACACAACACTGGGACTCACTTTGGGACAACATGATCGACCCTAAGCGCAGATCATCTCGAAAACATTCTCCCTCGCTGACACGCGGCTCAACTTTGGGTACGACTTGACTCTTGTAAACGGTACCAAATGAAACACGACCCTCGGACACGTCAGCCTTTGGTAAGGATCGAAGCAGAAACATATCACTCCGTTTCAAAACTTTGCTATCCGTCTCCGCCCTGCCAATTTTTGTTTCGTTTTTTTGTCTTCACACTTTGCTTTGCTGAGAGTCTGCTGGTTGTTAAATCAATAAAACTCTCTGTCAGGCGCACGGAGCCTCACCATTTGGCTGATGTCAAAGCCAAACAAACCAGATAAGAAAGGCAGAGAGGCGATGAAACGAGAGAGAGGGGGAAAAGAAGGGGATGAGACCAGTCAGCTTGCCCCCCAACACCAGCCCCATTTCTCCAACACCCCTCCTTCTATTTATTTACACACATTTCTTTATTTATTTGATGTGAGTTTGGGAAGAGGGGGCAATCACGGCAGTCATTTGCGGCACTAATGTCCAATCACGGGCCCCTTCACTCATGTGATTTAAGCAGTGTAGGAGTGTGTTCGCAGCAGAGAATGGTGGGGTGTGTGTGGTGGTGGTGCAGGGGGGGGGGGGGGGGGGGGGGACAGAGGCCGTTTAGGCCGGCCCCTAATAGGAAACTGGCAGTCTTATTCCTTCCCCAGATTCTGTTTGTCACCCCGCTCTCCATTACGTGCCTCTCAACCCTGATGGCTTTGGACAGGAGCTGATCAAAAAGCCATCGCTTGACCTACACGCCGTGGCAGAACGAGACTCGCGCCCTGCACAGGCAGAGTGGGAGAGAGGGAGATGAGATAGACGAGATGGGGGGGGGGGGGGGGGGAGGCTGAGGGAGGGGTGTATGTCAGCATTATGTGCGGAGAGGAGAAAGAGTGCGGTGGCAGGAGGGAGGGGAGGATGTAGGAGGAGGGGAAAATACGGGGAAGGGGGGGGGGGTGATAGCTCTCGGACCGGGACAAGAGGGCTGTAAATAAAATGACATTATTATTTCCTCTGTCCCGTCATGTAGAAAAGCCAATTATGGTAATGCTGCTGCCGGCGTGTCAGAAGGAATGCTGGGATGTGCTTCCCGTGAAGCGGCTAACATGAGAGCAATGCCCTGATCAGGAACACAGGCCTCAGTCTGACAAGAGATGGTACAGATAGGGAGAAGAAGAGAGGGGGAAACGAAAGAGAAAGAGATATGAGGCAAATAACAAAGCTGCATCTGGGCCTTGTTTTTTCAACACAGATATTAAGCCGTCTGCAGGAGTCTACGATAACAGCTGAAACTGAAGTGTTATTTTCACCATTAACCTGATATCAACCTGATCCTAATTGATCCTAGACACATATTCAAATAAGTTGCATTAAGTTGTGGAGATCTGTCTTCATTTTGTGAATACTCATCGAAACAAAAGACGAGGTATGACGTACAGAATCTTATCTTCTCTAGCTCCGAAATGATTGAGGAGGCCTAACCTATAAAGAAAAAGCGATCAACCTGAAAAGTTCAGGAGTTCATGAATTATACTCCGTCACACCTCAAAACTTGACGTGATGAATTATGCAAAGACAACGGTGGCGAGAGAGCCGGATATTGAGGGTGAAGGCGATCATTTACTTTGGGAGCTAATTCGTTCTCATCTCCTCTCAGGCTTCTCCAGGTATCCCGTTCTTAAAATTCCTCCTACGCTTGATAGGAGGGGGGCTCTCCTTAAAATAATTCCTCAGCTATTACTTTCTCCCTTCACTTCCCTCCATCGCCCCCCCCCCACTCTTTCTCTTTTCTCCCACCCTCCTCCTCCTCCTCCTCTCTCCAGCCCTTGCTCATATGCCCACATGAGCCCCTCCCAAGCGGAATAATGGGAGCATATGGCCT